AGCACCTCCTGTAGAAGGGCATGGGTAATTTCCCAGGTGATTCTAACATGCATCCAGGTTTGAGAACCACTGGACTACAATGATTCCCAAAGTGTTGCCTACACATCAGCATCACCTAGAAACTTGTTAGAATATGAATCCTCAGGCTTCACCCCAAATCTACTGAATCAAGAATGTAGGGGGCAGAGTCCAGAAATCTGGAAAGCTGTCCAATTTAAAAACCAATTGATTAAACAATCAGTAAATTTCTCTCCAGTTCTAAAATACTACCATTCTTTGATCTCTCACAGCCTTTTCAAGGACTTTTGTTAAGACTTTTAGACTAAAACTATAAACTCTGGAATTAGACTTCCTGGATTTAAATGGCAGCTCTTACACTTAATTGCTGTGTACTCTCGATGAGTTTAGTTGTCTGTGTTTCGGATCCTCATCTATAAAATGAGGATAATAATAGTACACATTCTTCAATGTGTAACTCACTTAGCAGAGTGCCTGAAATGTGGTATTTCATTACTCAATCATTACACTCCTAGTGAGGCCTTCCCTGGACACTCTGTCCAAAATTGCAACTCACCCTGACCATTCCATTGTCTCCTTCCCTGGTTTATTTTCCTCCTTTGCAGTTATTACTCTCTAATATGCTTAAATGTTTATTATCTGTCTTCTCCCACTAGGATGTAAACTCTATAAAACCAAAGATGTTTGTCCATTTTTTTTGAGAGTCATACCCTCAGTGTCTAGTACAAGTTCTGATACATTGGAAGTACTCAAAAAATGTTGGTAAGATGAATGAGTAAATAATTGTTAACTATTATCAATATTTTTATTAGCAATTTAAATTTTTTCTTATTGAAACCTAACAGTTCATACTTCCTGCTTATTGTCTCAAACCGTGCTTCTGTCTTATTGTTTGCTTTTTTCAAATTCTGTCCCATACCTAACAATGCACTTCTATCTAATTTCAGCTCATTTTAGGCCATGCTCGAGTTCTACCTCTTCCTTTTAATATTCCCTGGTGACTCTAGCTCTCTAGTTCTTTGAATGTGTACAGTGTTTACTGTCTATACTACGCGACTTAACACTTAATTAGCTTAATGTCAGCGGAATAACTAACTTTTAGGAAATTTACTAGAAAAAGCTGCATCATTCTTGCAACAACAATTTCATGAAAAATTAGACAGAAAGGGGACCCTAAGGAATCAATGGAAAACGTACCATTAATTAGCCATGTTGTCCTCAAATAACAGAAATAGTGCTCTACATTTTACAAAGTATTTTTATATACATCAGCCTAGTTGTGACTAGATGATCTTAAAAACTAAGTCTCCTTGCTCTCAGGTTTTCAAAATATCTTCTATGAAAGTATAGAGAGAACATTTCTTAAGGTTAAAAATTAAAAACAAATCATAACAGAAGCAGATAATGACCCAAGAAGTTGTCAAGTTCAGGGATGGCAAATAAGTGGCTCTTTTTCCCCCAATCTTCCTGTCAACTGAGTCTGGAAGAGGCTCACCACCATCCCCAGTGCATCTCTCTAGGTAGACATTACCAAGTGATCAGAGGGGGCAGGCAAGGGGACACCATTTGCCATTGTAACTTCGTCTAACCATCTTGGTTCTAAAAGCAAAGTAAACTAATGCTAAGAATTTTAAAGTGACTTGTCCAGGCACATATGTGGTAGCAGACCAAGACCAGAACCAGCATCCTGATTCCTTGTCCAAGACTCTCTCCATTGCTCCTCCTAATTCATTTCTGAAATTCAGTATTTAAATTCCCACTCAAAGTAATCAAAACCCAAGAAGCAAACCTTTGACAGAGAGTTTTCATATTAATGCTCATGAAAATAATGATGAAATGAAAAATGACAGTTTCAAGTCAAGTGATAGACAGAGTTGGTCTGTTATTTTCAGTTCTGTTTATTTACCTAAGCTTAGAATATATCATGACTGAAAAGAGACAAAACAGATTATTTCAATTCCACTGTCCTAGAAAAAGAAAAGGGAAATAGTCTTCATTAATCGAAACCAGGCTCAAATCCAGTCCCAAAATAACATACTATTAAATCAACTTTTTAGGTGATCTTTCTCTCATCAGTGGTGAAGCATCATTTTAAATATAGCTTAATCACTAAATTTAAATTATAGGAAAACATACAATTGAAGCAATATTTAAAAAGATAAGAGAAATAAACATCTATTTTAATATAAATAATGACTATTTCTTCATCATGGAAATTATACCCACATTTTATTTATTTACTTTCTGAAATTAATTTCTTTTACAATTGTAATTTATGTACAATATTATATTAGTGATCATCCCATAGGTCTAGTACCCATCTGATACCATATATAGCTACTACAATATTATATGACTATATTTATGACTATATTTCTTATTCAGTACTTTATATTCTCATGACAATTTTTATAAAGGCAGTTTGTATTATGCTAAGTGAAATAAGTTAGACAGACAAAGAGAAATATCCTATGATTTCATTTATATAATTGAAATCTAAAAAACAAAACAAACAAAACAGAAACCAATTCATAAATACAAAAAACAAAAACAAATTGATGGTTTCCAGATGTGGAGTGAGGTGGGGGGATGGACAAAAAAGGTGAAAGAAATTAAGAACCACATTTTGGAATGATAATTCTCCAGAGCCTCTCTCCAAAGTACAGTTTCCAAATATTTCAATAACCTTTGTAACTCAATTGAAATGAAACTGGCTTGTGAAATTTTAGCAAGATAATTCTGTCTTGATTAACTATCATTTTCAGGCATACTATATATAATTGAAGTTGCTTTTGGGTGGGAAACCATTATCTACCACAGTTAGAAATTGCCTCTGGCACTGTCTGCATAAACTAGGATGACAACTAGCAGTCTGCTACTTCACAGAGTTAATCCAATTTAGCCACTTTATTACTTAGTTACAAGGTAGCAGCAGGTGGTCCAGTAGGCTGTCCTTTCACCACGAGGTGATCCTGACTCACCTTCAAGAGTAGCACTAGGAAAGCAGCAAACACACAGAATCTTTTCAGAATGCACCCTGCTACCACACAGGGTGTGGGAAGGTGTATGTGGCGGGGTGAGAAAGGGTGGGTGCTGAACTGGCTGGAGGAAGTTCAGGGCCTGCATTGTTCCTGCTCCACACACACAAAAAGGGGTGATCAGTTCAAGGGTTCTCTTAGGGTCCAGATATACATAGAAACAATCCCAATGGGTCTCAGAAAACTCTCACCACAAATTGGTGTTTGCAAAGACAGCCTCAAAGGGCTGGAGTGATTCTCACTTCAATCCTCTTTGTCAGTGGAGATCACTGGTACTCCATGAATTGAACGAAACTAAGAACTCTATTGAGACCTCATCATGCTACCCTAGACACAGATCCTCTAGGCAAACAGGATAGCCAACACAAACCTTGACTTCCAGAAAGAGGACCTGTTGTTCCTAAAGAATGTTTATGAAGCACTGAAACACTCTGCTTTCTGGCTTAGTCATTCCAAAAATTCAGAGATTGCTTCTCCTGCATCACATTATTGAATCATTTGTTTCAATCAACCCACTTACTCATCTGAAAAAGGGGACAAGTAACCCAACTCACTTAGCAGAAATATTTTTAGTTGGCATCCAAGACACCTTTCATAATTATGGAAAATCCTTTAAAATGCTGTTATTTACATAATAAAAATCCAAATTCCTTCAAAACTGACCGTATGCTAGCTAATCCAACATAATAGAGGAAAAATTTGAGAGTTGGAAAAGACTTGATTTGGAAATCAGTTTTGTTACTTCCTAGCTCTGTGACTACAAGTAAATTACTTATGATCTTTGAGCCCAAGTTTTCTCTTCTATAAAATAATCACAATAAAATTTATTTCACAATGTAGTTCTGAGGATTACATTAAAAATATTAGGAAAAGGCATAAAAATGCCTGACCCATGATAGAAACTAAATAAATATTAATTTCCTTCTTCCATTTCCTTTTTTCTACTAAAGAAAATATCTGTTAAAATGCTTTTGAATGTTGTATATGGTTTTAAAAATTCAGTAACATGGCAACGTCTTATCTATGTAACTGTACTTTATATCACTAATTTGAAGCAACTACTATTTATGTCTATGATTATACATAAAATATGAATGAATTATAACTCTGTGCAGTCATGTAGTTGAACAATTCAGACTGATACTATAATCTGAATCTCTTTTTCCAGAAATATATTGTAACCTAATTTCCCATGGAAACAATCTCACTATGGTAGAAAAGAAAATGAGATCTACCCCTTTTAAGTTGCATAATCTTTTGTGTTCGATACTATACATCTTTCAAAATATTCCTGCTTATCTGTCTTCCAAAGCCTGCTTATAGCTTCTAATATTGCAAATATAGCAAGACAGTGTTAGGAGCAAATATGTCCAGTCCTGCCAAAAACAAAAACAAAAACAAAAAACATGGGGGGCAGGAGGGAGAACCGCGTATTTGATGAATCTAAGAGGATAGGCAGGAGCATTCTTATGGCCAAGAACAACAGCAGGCTTGTCCATCTGTCCATCACCAAACTGAGTTGTGCCCACTAGTTATCAACAGGAGGTGGCCATGTGAGTATCACACTAAAATAGCATTTCTGTCATCGGGGAGACAAGGTGAGGAGAGAAGAAAAGGATTAACTGTTTCAGCATCATTTTCTGGATTAGTATAGATATATACTAATCTGGATGATGTATACAAAAAATTGCTGCATATTTCTTACTTATGGAATATAAAACTTTTATTCATTATTTTATTCATTCATTAATATTTTCTGGGTGCTTTTAAGAAGCCAGGCACTGTGCTAGCCACTATGGATACAAATAATAATTTCTTTCTCTTAGGAATTCTGTTTTATGAGGGGGACAGAAAAGTAAATAAATAATTATAATACAGTAAGATGACAACTGATGTACATACAATGTGCCATGGGAGCCCAAAGAAAGAAGTAATTAACTATGCAAAAAAATATGGCAACTTTACAAATTTATGACATCTTTGCATAGGGGCTATGCTAATCTTCCCTGTAACATTCCAGTGTTGTTACATGTACTGCCAGAGTGAGGCCAACCACAGAAAAAGAACAGAAAATCCAAGAATGAACAGATGGGTTTTGATTAACTGTGTTTGTCTTAGGGTATAAGAAAAGTATTATTGCCTTTACCTTCATTTATTGCAGTCTGTTTTTAAGTATGTGTGTGTTTAATTTTTATATGATTTTTAATCTTATTAACTCCTTCTGAACGCCAATTTCTCTTTTCTAAAATATCAATATGTTTGAGTGTGTGCTCATCGAACAATATAGGTAGACATAGATATGGACATAGATTAGAAGTAGATACGAATATAGCTGTAGATATAAAATAACTTCTTGGCTTGTGGAAATACTAGTTATGGCATATTTCTTAAATTTTACAATGAAATATTTTCTTTTAGGCAATTTCCTAACAGAAAAGTGAATATAAGGCATAGCATTTATTGGCACTTAGCAAAATTAAGATGTTAATACAAATAAATCCTCAGTGTGCTTTAAGACATAATATAAAGACTTCTTTTCCATTGCAGAAATGAATAAGGAGTGAATTGAGGCATTCCCATGTAAGCTAAAGTATAAAGTTTAGGTAAATCGTCAGCTTGAAAATCCTATTTAAATGTCTACTGGCTTTATAGCTAATGTGCACTTGTAAACAGAAAATTAACAACAGTTTCGGATGAAATTTACTATTTCTCTCTGAGGCAATTTTTGGAAGTAAATCATTTGCCCAAGTCTCATCTTGGTTGTCAGTGGTGTTGGTGTTCCTCTCTGTTGTCCCTGAAGCCACACAGTGCCCTGCAGCTACATTCATAAAAATAATTTTCCACTCTATGACTCCTCCCACAGTCACAAGAGCCAATGGCACATTCTGAAATACAGCACAAGTCATTAGCCTGAGGTACCAGTACCACGCTAACCCAGAATCTGGGTCAGCCTTGAAGAACCCACTCTAAATAATTACAGCCCTCATTCTTCCTGCCTCTGTCCTGATGTCCTATCCTGGTATCCACCAAAACTAAAATGTTTTCACTCAGGAGAGCATAATCACACTGTAGTATGCATCAATTATGACAAGACACGAAAGTCCTAAACTTTATCTCTAATCTCTACTTGTCACATAAGTAATGCTTTCCATGTGCCAAATTATCATTTGTACCTTAGATACGTATCATAAAAAACACAGCGCCCATATATAGATATTCTCTTAATGTTTTTAAGCCGTCTACTACCTATCAGTTCTCTGTAAGAAACTCCTAGTCACTGTTCTCAGTGGGATTCTCATATTATAACACAACACAGCTTCATAGGTAATTTTAAGTTTACTGAATATTTTCTGTTGATAGTGGTGGCACTGGTAGCGCTACAGCTTCTCTCTTCTTCTGTAACAAGTATACAACTGTCATTCTATGAATGGCAAGTTTTTGCTAAGATCTATACTATTTTCTATGATTTTTGTTACAGATTTCTAATCATTATAGTTTTTCATTTAGTGAGCTTATTAAAAATCTGTCAAAAAAATTAAAAAATAAAAAGTAAGTGTCCTTCCAGAGTGAGTTGAGTAATGACTCAAGCCCAAAGAGTCTGACTTATGAGTGCTATAGAGAAAGTCATTCATTAATTGAAGGTCAAAGGCCTGCAAGTTACTAAACATTAAATGGAGGCCAACAGAAGCATCAATTACAGGAAGTAAAAAAAAAAGTTGATACTAATGTGAAAGGTTTCTTTTGTGATAGTGAAAGTTGTGATGTCTCTTTTACGTTATCTAAAAGCCAATGTTCAGAAAAGAGAGATAAATATTAAATGAACAACATAGAAAAGAGCAAGGTGACATCCAACTTACAAGTGTATCACGGTTCCAAAACTCCAGAAGCATACCTGTTGTGTAGTTCTGAGAAATGATTATCCCTTCAAGCTCTGGTAGACATGGCAGCAATGCCCTGCTCACATAAGCCAATCTAAACTACAGTGTAGCTGAAGTAACAACACAGACCTCCAATTCTATTTCTCATACACTTAGCCATTTGTAACACACTTCTGAATTTCAATTTGTGAACAAAATAAAAACCAGTGTTTATTCAGCATATATGCACTACTTCTCAGGCACCACATCAATTTAATCTTTACCTCGGGTGTATGAGGTAATTATTGTTATTCTCTTTCACAGGAAGCAAACAGGCCTAAAAAACTAATCTGCCCCAGGCATGAGTACGTTAATCACACCGTTTATGTGCATAAAAGAAAATGTCGTTTAAGTTGGTCATTCCCCAGTTTTCATACTGAAGGAGCAATTGCAACCCACACTTAGAAGGCAGAAGCTCTGGACTCAATTCCTGTAACACACTCAAGGCGTGGGGTCTTGTCAGGAATCACCCACGTAGTACAATGTATTTGCAGCCTTCAGGAGCTTATATAGATTTAGACACATTCTCAGGCTCTTTTTAAAGAGTCTTGTTAGATCTTTAGATCCTATTTTTAATAACCCTTTTAATCTTTTTCAAATACTCAGCCAAAGATCAAAGCTGCTGCTTAGCTTTTAGCTACACATTCTATATCTTCCATTTTAATTTGTACTTATGCAACCTTTTACTTTTTTCATAGCAAGAAACATATTTCCCTTTATGAAAGAATAAAATTTGCCTTTAAGAAAAATAGCATTCATTTTCAATAATCATTTACTAAGTAACTACCTTTTTGAAAGTTAAAGACTAAGCCCGAGTCGGGTAAAAACGGTGGATAAGACCTGGTCTGTGTCTGCCAAGGACTTAAAATCTAATTGTGGACACAGAAATTTAGGAATCAGGGTCAAAATTTAAAGTGGAGCCTCTCACTGTTTCTCTCCAGGGAACGACTTCTGATACCAAGTTGCTTCTCTAGGAGCAAGTTCTGACTTCTCAATATGAGAGAGGGGGCTGAAAACAATGATCCGCTCAGATAAATGTTAAAGATTCTGGTTCTAGCAATAACTCTTAAGATAGAGGGGGCAATGCAGGAGAAAAGGGGCAGTTTCAGAATTGATTTGAATATGCATGGGGATGTGCTTTTACAAACCGCATAGCCCTGCTCACCACACTTTCTCCAGAATCACTGCTATAGCGAGTCCCCAGGCATAGAAGAGAGGACATCAAGCATATCAGCGGTCTTGAGACAGGAAAACTTTGAGAATCACAATGTCCAACATGCTGCAGTTTTTCGGGTGCAGCTCCTAATGACACCACAGTGTATGTCCATTTTTCTATTTGTCCTTATTTAATATTGAACAAATAATATTTTACACAAAAGTCCAGATCAAGAGGGACTTAATTTAAGTAGGTGATTTACCTTTGTCACTCATTAAGATTAGAGGCTGTTTCTTCAGAAGAAGGCCTGAATCACCTCAAAGTTGAGTTGCTTAGAAAGCAGTCTGTGATAAAAAAAAGTATGAAGATGGTTACCTAAAGCAAATGATTTTGACTTATTAAAAACAAGCCTTTTGGGAATACTCCAATAACCTACTATGGTTGTGCTTCCTAGAAACCCAGAGGATTAGCCTAATTCTCTTCTAACATAAAATACTGCTGGTATCTACCCTCTTTTGAGAAGACTTCATTCTCTTCTTTACTGCTAAAATAAAATTCCCAATGCCACAGCCTGCTCAGTCTATCTCAGTCCTTATTTTTATTATCTACTCTCACACTTCACATCCACCTGTGAAATGCATCCCTAACCAGTTGACGTGTCTATCTTTTCCTCATCCATATGCATCCTTTCTTCAGCACTCACATTTATGTTTTTATATTTAGCTGCCACATTGATCAACAAATTGATTGTGGTAGATAGCATTTTTCTTTTGAGTTCAGCTTTTTTTTCTCTTTATAGGGAGAAGTTTTTTTTTTTTTTTAAATGATTATATAATACATAACTCGTAAAACTTTGTTACAGAAAAGCATTTCTAAAATGAAAGGAAAAAACAACTTAATTTTACCACACAGAAATCAGTATTAAATTTTGTTATTTTTTTCCTATTAGTCCTTTTTCTACGTATGTATGTTTTTCAACTTTTCATTTCAAAATAATTTTAGACTTACAGAAAAGTTGCAAAAATAGTACAGAGAGTTCCTATATGCCTTTAATCCAGCTTCTCCTACTGATAACATCTTCCATTACTATGGTATAATTATTGAAATCCTCTACGTATATTTTGACAAGGTTGAAGTCATACCTTTTGTTCATTGCCTCTTATATTTAATATGATAGCATAAGCATTTCTATTATTTAGAAACTTTCAAAAACACTAATTTATTGTCCAAGTAATGTCATACTGTATCGATGCATGCTTTTAAAACTATTTCCACACTGTTGAATATTTAGGTTGCTTGAAACTTTTTTCTATTAAAAATCCTCGTCTATGGCCATACTACCCTGAACAAGCCCAATCCCATTTTATCTCGGAAGCTGAACAGGGTCGGGCCTGGTTAGTACTTGGATGGGAGACCACCTAGGAAGACTAGGTGGTGTAGGCATAAAAAATAAAAAAATAAGGGCTTGTAAGCGACAAGGTCCTTGCAATCTGTGAGGTAAACCAAGGGTTGCCTCGCCTAAAAAAAAAAAAAAATTCCTCATCAACACTTACTAATTTTATAAGTCAAAAATGTTCTCTCATTTTAAATAGCTTTTTAGTTATTACTGAAGGCAAACACTTTAAATGCTTATTAATCATTTTTATTTCATCTTTTGAAAATTATTTACCTGGGCTCTTTGATCATGTACTTACGGGTGTCTAAATGTATTACTTAACAATTTTTGTAAAGCTTGCATATTAAGAATATTAAGCTTTGGACTCAAAGATTTCAAATATTTTTCATTGTTTGGTGATTATGTTTTAATTATTTGCTTCATTTTCATTTTGATAATCCTAAACAACATTGCCAATTGAAAACACCTCTTTTGTAATAGCAATTTGTAATTGAAAGACATTTTCATAAAATAAGACTTTCATCCACTAACTTAGCCTTTCTCAAACTGAGATCCACCCACCTCTAAGCATCTGAAG